CTCCTGCATTGGCAGGTGGATTCTTTACCACTGTGCCACCTGGGGAGTCCAACTTTGCCTAAATTCTAACAAGGTTGGTTATTAGGTTTCTAAATCCACAGCAGCTTAGGAGAAGGAAGAGGTGCTGCAGACAGCCACAGGTGATCACTGGCATCTTGACACTAAATACAGCTCTAGGAACAGTTTAAAAGCAGACATTAGAAAGCAGAACTTACAGTTATCTGGGATCGTTTAGTGTGGGATCAGTCATATCCAGATTTCTCTGCTTTTAAGGCATCGTTGTATTACAGCATAGTTCAGTAAGAGACATCAAAAAGATTAAGTTATGGCCAGTAAATGTCAGCATTTCCCGTATCCGAAATCCGTGCTGACAGTGGTGTCTGATCTTCCTGAGGGCAGGGATTTGGGCTTGGTAGTTGTAGGCTTAAGCACCTCCCCTTGCTCTTGTTTCATTACTAGTTATGTGTTGGGATCTTCTAAATCTCCCTTTTTCACCCAGAAGTTGGTGAGTCCAGTTTCTGCCCAGGCCTTCATGATCTAGGTCCTCCCAGCAGGCTCCAGTCTGAAACTGATGTCTGACTTGAGGTGTCCGTCATCGGAAATGTCTTCTCATGGGCACCTGAGCCTTGAGCTCCACTCTCGGGCCTACGCATGCAATGGCTTTATTTACCCTCTTGTCATCTTCCTTTCTGATACGCAGGGTCTTTCCTTATCACCTCTCTGTCATCATGAGACCAAAACCACATCTAATTGTGTATATTTATGTGTGTGTGTGTACATAAATGCACACACAGAGAACATAGTATTTCTTCAGATGCTACACTGTCCCATTCATATTTCGTGGGAAAAGGGGAGACTACTTTCTGGAATAAGATTCTGAACAGTCTAGTACCATCATGTTTGATCCTTGAACTGACCTTGGGTAATATGCATCAAGGTTACATTACGGGATAGCTTAGACTGTTTTCATTTCTTCCTTTGGCAGTCTTAGGGTCAGTTCTCATCAGTTTCTTTTTCTTAGGACCAATTATTACCTGCATTAACTAGCCTCAGATGCTTTCTAGTAGGCTGTAAACTCTTTACAGGCAGGAATTAAACCATTTTGTCATTCCATACTAAGCACAGTGCCTGGATTCTTACCTTGCATGTTGTAGAAGCTTAACAGATAGCTTATTGGTAAATTAATTAATTATAAATGAGACTTCAGGATAGTTTGTGTATTATTGAGCTTCTAATTGTTTCTTCAGCAACATTAACTAGAAAATGCAATTTCTAAAAGGCATCCTTTATCTTAGTTAATGTTGTTTCAGAGGGGGACTTCGTCATGATGATATAAAATTTTGATTAAGTGGAAACAGCAGTTTATTTCTCTTTACTAATAGCTTCACATAAAATACCATTTGTTATCAGAGAAGCAATTAAAAGGAAAGGTTTTCCCAAAGTATTATAACCAAGGTGTGGTTAAAATGATTTATACTTCATGTGTAGGGCTTGCTCAGTGAATGTATCCACTTATTAGGCATTAGGAAATTTTGAGTGAGGAACAGTTATGAATCGTATGTGCAAAGGTGGAAGTAGAAAGAGCCTGTATAGTTTGAATACGTTAATGCTGCTCTACCAAATCTAATGTGCTTTTTTTTTCTTTGCCCTTTCTTCATTTAGTAACCTAGGTTATTTCCCCCAGTATACTAACTATAGCCTAGGAGTGAGTGAAAACTTTCGAGCTACTACATTAAATCATTTCAGGACATTGGGAGTAGGAATTAGCAAATCATTGCTTACCAGAACCAAATAATAAGCTAAGAAGGGTAAATGCAGCTTACTAAAGGGCCCAATATAAAAATAAACAGTAGCTCATGCACTGGAGTATCTTGATATAGTGTTTGATCTCCATGTATTCTGTTAACTCTTGGATTCTGAGTCTGATTCAGACAGGGCCAATGCTAACCCATTTGCCTTTGTGAAAATTAGAAAAATGTGCCCTTCCTTGAGTAAAATTTTTAAATATGTTATGCACGACTTGAATAATCCTATGTTCAGGCCTGAAGAAAGTGGGAATGTGGATGGCTTTGGTAATTCTGGGCTCCACCCTCCTGTAAGGAAAGGAGGAAGGGGGCATGGGGATGAGAGGATGGGCTTGGGGAGCAATGGCTCGGGTATTTCATCAAGAATACCAATTTCAGTTCATCCAGACAGTGGGTCTGTAAAGCAGACTGATTTTTAAGTCAGTGATTAGAACATCTATTTTCTATTAAAGAATTATAGAAAAACTGCTGCTTCAGAAGACATGTCCCTTTTTGACTCAGCCCGGCTTTTCAGGGTTGGGACGTGGGGGGCTTGTAATCCTGGCAGGAGCAAGCCTGTGTATATACCATACACACGCCCCAGATGTCAGGGCTCATATCCCACTGGCAGTGCGTCCACCCTCCCACCCTCACCCTCATCCTCATAAGACCTCACCCCGTTTGTTATAGACAATGAGTCGGTCAGAATGGGGCTTCCTAGAGCCAGGAAGGGGAACTGGGATGCGCCAGTGAGCGTGCAAGTACATGCATGTTAATGAGGATCTGTGTGGGGTTAGCGTGACTGAGAACGTTCCCCGTGGCCTCACATTTCCCCGGGGAGATCAGTGTCTCTTCTGACGCCATCACATACATCCTTACGTAACTTCACACGTGTCTGTTTTGTGAATACACCACCACTCCCCAGTTTAGGTGCTGTGTGCTACCTTGGGTTCAGTTTACACAGATACATAGCATTATATTAGGTGCTCAGTATAATACAATGTTTCTATATTTAAATGAGCACTTTCATGTTTAAAATAGGATCTTGAACATTTTTCACTCAGAGTTGCCACATTTTACAAAGTAATCCTTGTATTTTTTCATACTTCTGGGTTTTTTAAAGATAGAATGTAACTGATAAATTCAGACCACATATTGTGGAATGAAAAAGTATATACTAGTTACCCATCCTCTAACTGCATGGTTAGAACTGTGTGGCCCCCAGAATTTCTGAACAAAAAGCTGTATATGCTCCTTGTAAGGCTCGGAGTCTGTTTGGAACTTGCTGATGTGAACTGGGAGGCAGGAGAGGGAGAGAGGCTTTCTCGTGTTAAGTGTCCTGGAGACTCAGTCAGGAGTGAGTTCAGAGACCTCAGGCTCCCCATCAAATCAAATCCCGATATAAGGTTATTCTTATACTTGGTGTTAGACTGGATAAAAATATCTTTTAGTGACATAAATTCACATTGAGTGTAATTTCACCGTGAGGTTGTTTATATAGTCTTTTATTTTAAATGTTGTATTTTGGGAAATTTCAAACATATACACAATTAGAATGAGATAATGAACCCTTAGGCACTAGGACCCAGTTTAACAGTTAACATTTGGTTGATCGTGTTTCCTTTGAAGCCCCTGCCTCTTTTTTTCTTTGCCCCATAGTATTTTAAAGTAAATTTCAGACATTACATCATTTCACTTTCAGCGCTTATCTCTAATTTATAAGTCCTTTTTAAAACATATCCACCATGCCATTATCATACCTATAAAATTAATAATAATTCCTTAATATCATCTAATACTCTTCCACATTCCAATTCCCCTGATTGTCTCAAAAACATCCTTTTACAGGTTATTTAAATTAGAATCCATAGAAGGTCTATACATTGTATTTGGCTGTTTACATCCCTCAAGTTTCTTTTTTTATACATTAATAAATATTTTTCCTTACTTTTAAAATAATTTTTCAAGGGAGCGTAAAAGGAAAAATACCAAAATTAACATATTAAGCTTTATGTTTTGTTGTTGGTGTTCAGTCTCTCACTCGTGTCTGATTTTTTGTGGCCCCATGAATTGCAGCACGCCAGGCTTCCCCATCCTTCACCATCTCCCTGAGTTTGCTCTAACTCATGTCCATTGAGTCAGTGAAGCCACCCAACCATCTCATTTTCTGTGCCCCCTCTCCTCCTGTCCTCAGTCTTTCCCAGCATCAGGGTTTTTTCCAGTGAGTTGGCTCTTCACATCAGGTGACCAAAGTATTGGAGTGTCAACTTCAGCATCAGTTCTTCCAGTGAATATTCAGAACTGGTTTCCTTTAACATTGACTGATTTGATCTCCTTGCTGTCCAGGGGACTCTCAAGAGTCTTCTCCAACACCACAATTTGAAAGCGTCAATTCTTCAGCGCTCAGCCTTCATTATGGTCCAACTCTCACATCCGTACATGACTACTGGAAAAACCATAGCTTTGACTATAAGCTTTATCTTTAAATCATTAATTTTTATGCTCTGTATGTTTTCAGATCCATACATACTTAATGCTGAAGTGTATAGGGCTAAGAAAATGGGGGGGGGGGTTCCTTTTCTGATTTGAAAACAGGCATGAACTGATCTTATTACCCAACAGCAGAAATCAAATGCAGAAAATAGACCCTTACCCTATTTGAGTTCAAATAGCTCTGCATTAAATCACATTTTTAAACTTTATTATGGTTTAACCTAACCAAAATATCACCTTATAAATACAAAATTTGTAAACAAAGTGCCCTTTGCTTCTGGAATTTTATCTTTTTTGTTTTTCAGATTTTGGGTTTATATTTCAGTACAGTGAGTTTAGTCTAAGACAGTGTTTTCTTACCAAACATGTGAGTGTTTGTATCTTTTCAACTGTTATTAACATACCTAAATGGTTTGTCCATTTGATAGTATTCCTATTGAGTTCACTGTGATATATCAGAAGCATTATTCTTTGTAAAAAAAAAAAAATAGTTACATCACAAATTTGCTTCTTTATAATTCTAAATACTTATTTTGCTATTCTACCAGCTTGGTGCATTATCTTCTTTCTAGATGGATAGGAGGACAGAAAAGAATTTCTTCTGCTGCTATAATTTTAACACTACCGTGCTTGATATAAATTGTGCAGTGCTGCTAAAATGCCTCAAAATTTTACCATTTCTTTTTATAAACTCTGAATCCTGTGATGTCTTTCCTTTCTTAGGATATGAACGAGTCTGCCAAACAAGAAGATATTTTGGAATCTACAACAGATGCTGCAGAATGGAGTCTGGAAGTAGACCGTGTACTACCACAACTGAAAGTCACGATCAGGACTGACAATAAGGTATAGAAGAGAGAATACATTTTGGTCAGATAGATTTTTATGTGGCCATTTAGGATCAAGGGTACTCCCACTTATGCAAATGATTTAAGAAGGGATACAGTTTCCAGTGTTTTATTTTAATAGAGATTTAGTTAACTGTTGTTGAATGAATATATAAAGTTATATGGTCCACAAATCAAAGAATGTATCTTTAAAATAATCTGGAATATATCACATTCCCCGGGGAGTAAGGTGTGTTTTCTCAGTATATTTTGATATATTTTCTTGACAGTCATATTTTGTCTAGGTGAATAGTGAATGAAATTGTAATTCTGTGACTGTATACTAACGGAGCAGAGTTAAAGTGGTTTTAGATCTCTGCTGGATGGCAACACAGAAGACGTCCTGGAAGTTACCTTACATAATCTATTCAGTACACATGACTAAAAGTTAAATATTAAGAAAATAGTCAAGAAATCATATGCAAAAAAGATTTGGAGATTAGGCCAAATGAACCAGCCCATTTAGTGAAGTTTCTGCTTCTTTTTTACCTACAATTTATGAGTAAGAACTTCAGAACAAGCTAATAAGTGACTAGACAATCCTATTCTTTAGACAATATTATATACTAGACAATACTATAATAGTATCATAGAAATCTCTAAAAAGAGCTAGAGAGACATCTAGGTTAAAAAAAATAAGAAAGGATTTTCATCTTTGGAACCTGAGACAAGCTCCAGAATTATGGAACAAGGTTCCAGGGAAACTTACCATTCTGCAAATGTGGTTGTGTGTCTGTCCCCAAAGTATAAGCCTTGCAAAGACTGCCATTCTCAGTTTCTAGGAAGCTAATTCATACTAGATTGTCTGGATTTGGGCTTGTAGAGTTGAATCCTGGAGAAGGTAAGACGTGGCCTAGAGCCAGTCCACTCCTAGGGCAGTCTTTAAAATAAGGACCTCAGAGGTCTTCCGAGACTGTGAACAGCTGTGGAACAAGCTTTCTCTAGAGTAGATGGGCAAATCCTGCAGCCCTGTTTACCATATATTTACCCAGTCATTATGGAGGACAGTTACTATTTGAGTACATCGGGGGTAAATTCTTTGTTTCTATGTCTCATATAGAAGTACATATTAATAAGAATTTCTTTCCTGATTTGATCTCTGCTGAAAGTCATAATTTGCAAAAATGTAATTTTTTTCTTAAAATGTAATTTCTTATTTTTTAGTTTTGTCAGAACATATTCTCTTCATAAAATTAAAGATCACTACTATTGTGATTGTAGTTAGAACATGTTAAAATAATTGTGTAGTTGGGAGCTCTCAAGCACGTTTTAGATCCATAAGGAAGCAATTTTAATTTGTTTACTTTCAAGGTAAGTAAACTCTTGAAATCAAACATCTCACAGTTGGATGTTTGATAGGATAATAATAGGACCACACGAATGGTCTTGATCGCCATATAATAGAAGTAATTGAATAAAAAATGAGAGAATATAAATGTAACTGCTAACCTGTATGGTTTTATAAACCAGTATAGCAGTAATCAAAATCCTGGATTCTTGCAAAATCGGGGAAGAATTAACTAGTTCAGAGTTGGACTGAGTCTCATGCCATTCATTACCATCCTTGACCTTACGAGGATATACTGTGTCAGATTAACTATACAATCCCTGTTATAGGCAATACTTGAAAATGTCAGATAAAGTTTTTAGGGGGGTTGGTATTTTTTAGAATATGTGAATATCATTTTTCCAAATACAGACTGAAATTGAAGAAAGTGGAGAAAACCACTAGACCATTTAGGTATGACCTAAATCAAATCCCTTATGACTATACAGTGGAAGTGAGAAATAGATTTAAGGGACTAGATCTGATAGACAGAGTGCCTGATGAACTATGGATGCAGGTTCCTGACACTGTACAGGAGACAGGGAGAAAGACCATCCCCAAGAAAAAGAAATGCCAAAAAGCAAAATGGCTGTCTGAGGAGGCCTTACAAATAGCTCTGAAAAGAAGGGAAGCGAAAAGCAGAGGAGAAAAGGAAAGATATTCCCATTTGAATGCAGAGTTCCAAAGAATAGCAAGGAGAGATAAGAAAGCCTTCCTCTGTGATCAGTGCAGAGAAATAGAGGAAAACAATAGAATGGGAAAGACTAGAGATCTCTTCAAGAAAATTAAAGATACCAAGGGAACATTTCATGCAAATATGGGCTCAATAAAGGAGAGAAATGGTAGGGACCTAACAGAAGCAGAAGATATTAAGAAGAGGTGGCAAAAATACACAGAAGAACTGTACAAAAAAGATCTTCACAGCCCAGGTAATGACAATGGTATGATCACTCACCTAGAGCCAGACATCCTGGAATGTGAAGTCAAGTGGGCCTTAGGAAGCATCACTGTGAACAAAGCTAGTGGAGGTGATGGAATTCCAGTTGAGCTATTTCAAATCCTGAAAGATGATGCTGTGAAAGTGCTGCACTCAATATGCCAACAAATTTGGAAAACTCAGCAGTGGCCACAGGACTGGTAAAGGTCAGTTTTCATTCCAATCCCAAGAAAGGCAATGCCAAAGAATGCTCAAACTACTGCACAGTTGCACTCATCTCACACGCTAGTAAAGTAATGCTCAAAATTCTCCAAGCCTGGCTTCAGCAATACGTGAACCATGAACTTCCAGATGTTCAAGCTGGTTTTAGAAAAGGCAGAGGAACCAGAGATCAAATGGCCAACATCCACTGGATCATCAAAAAAGCAAGAGAGTTCCAGAAAAACATCTATTTCTGCTTTATTGACTATGCCAAAGCCTTTGACTGTGTGGATCACAATAAACTGTGGAAAATTCTGAAAGAGATGGGAATACCAGACCACCTGACCTGCCTCTTAAGAAACCTGTATGCAGGTCAGGAAGCAACAGTTAGAACTGGACATGGAACAACAGACTGGTTCCAAATAGGACAAGGAGTATGTCAAGGCTGTATATTGTCACTCTGCTTATTTAACTTATATGCAGAGTACATCATGACAAATGCTGGGCTGGATGAAGCACAAGCTGGAATCAAGATTGCTGGGAGAAATATCAATAACCTCAGATATGCAGATGACACCATCCTTATGGCAGAGAGTGAAGAAGAACTAAGGAGCTTCTTGATGAAAGTGAAAGAGGAGAGTGAAAAAGTTGGCTTAAAGCTCAACATTCAGAAAACTAAGATCATGGCATCTGATCCCATCACTTCATGGCAAATAGATAGGGAAACAGTGGAAACAGTGGCTGACTTTATTTTGGGGGGCTCCAAAATCACTGCAGATGGTGATTGCAGCCATGAAATAGACGCTTTACTCCTTGGAAGGAAAGTTATGACCAACCTAGACAGCATATTAAAAAGCAGAGACATTACTTTGCCAACAAATGTCTGTCTAGTCAAGGCTATGGTTTTTCCAATGGTCATGTATGGATGTGAAAGTTGGACTATAAAGAAGGCTGAACGCAGAAGAATTGATGCTTTTGAACTGTGATGTTGGAAAAGACTCTTGAGAGTCCCTTGGACTGCAAGGAGATCCAACCAGTCCATCCTAAAGGAGATCAGTCCTGGGTGTTCATTGGAATGATTGATGCTGAAGCTGAAACTCCAATACCTTGGCCACCTGATGTGAAGAGCTGACTCATTGGGAAAGACCCTGATGCTGAGAAAGATTGGGGGCAGGAGGAGAAGGGGACGACAGAGAATGAGATGGCTGGATGGCATCACCAACTCGATGGACATGAGTTTGAGAAACTCCGCGAGTTGGTGATGGACAGGGAGGCCTGGTGTGCTACAGTTCATGAGGTCGCAAAAAGTCGGACACGGCTGAGCGACCGAACTGAACTGAATATCATTTTGAGTGTAGATTTTTGTGGTGAAACATACTGATGTAAAATCATGTTTGATTGCTTTTTCTGAATTCTTCTCTAGATAATTTGGTCTTTGTGTCCAGTAGTTAGTTCATAAACCCTTTTTTTCCCTAAGTATTTCAGCTGTAGCAAATAGGAATTGCAGCTTTAAGGTCAATTCTTTATTCAGCTCACTTAAGAAAAATAAAATTATACATTGATTTGAGAAAATAAGGTACTAATGAATAGAGAAATGTTTTTCATGTCTCAGAAGTAAACTAATCTAGTAATATATGTGGTTTCTCACGGACTCATTATCCTCCTTCATCAGGAAAGGTTGACTTCAGCATCATGGTAGATCCCCTTCTTCCTCAACTCCTGACTCCACTAAAACCAAAATCTCTCCTTTACTTTTGGACAAAACAATAACCTTTCACTCATCTGCAGGCTGTTTAGGACCTCTTAAGATTTCAACTTCATGTTTGGGGGTGGTGGCGAGGAATTACTTTCAGATCAATGTGTTTTACTGATCACTGTTAGATTAATTTTTAAGTAGCATAGAGATGTAGGAGATGAGTAATGCAGGGTTTCCATTATTTAAATCCATTATAAATTTCTTTAAAGTGACCTGGTGTTAGAAGTAAAAAAAGTCCCGTATTTATTTGGCACCAGATCAAGCATTTGTTTTGCTTTTTTTTCTTACAAGTTCAGTTTATTCCTTGTATGCTTCCCAATTGCAAAAAAAGTTAGTCTTCTTTTCTGTTCTTTTTGCATATTTCAGTCTGTATGCTTGATGAGATCCTGTCATACACCAATATTGTATTTTGTATGTGAGTCACCTTGTAATCAGGTTTTTACTGCAAGGCTAGTTTATCCTCATTTCTGGCACTACTTGTTACTATTGCCAATTCCCAAAGAAAGCAAATAAATTTTAATATTAGCTTAAATAAATTACAATTGGGAAAATAAATATGTTGCCAAAACTACAAATAATACATTCCACAACTGAAGATAAAAAATTTTGTCATATGCTGGCTTGAATGGACTGTATGAGTGGTTTCCCTTTTTAGAGCTGGATACAGAGGATGTCCCTGGTGATTACTTCTAGAGTAGCTGTGCATCTGTCTCAGATCTACCTCAACTTGGAATAATA